TCATCATCCCCCTCCACCCCCCCCCCACCCTCCCCACCCCCCCGCCTCATACACATATGGATGCATATCTTAATATATCTGCCTGCTAACCATGCCCCAACCTTTGAGCGTGAGTGCCTTGGCTGCAACATGAGCTGCGTTCGTTAATAGTTTTTAGGGTTTCGTAAAAACCTACTTTTTGCTCGAAATGAGGTTTTTACCTAGGAAATAAGCACATTCACGCGCCATAATGTAGCCAGGGTCCTTACACGCGCGTGACCTAGTTATGACGAGAATGAAAGTGAAAGCTGTCCAAGGCTCCAAGGAGCGAATCCAGATGATTCAGGGCTCTTCCTTCACAGAGCTGGACCTCCAAGCTGCTCGGGTTGAAAGCCGCTTTTTGGGGTCAAAGACCGGCCGGAAAGACCCGAAAGTCCCAAAATCTAAAGCTAACTAAGCTGGGGACTCGAGAAGCATGGCTTTGGCATTTCGGCGGGTTGCAGTTGCCGCGAGGCTTTGGAGCTCCAAACAACAAGCCCAAGGCTCCTTTAAGGGGGCCATGGGTTTTTGCCGCTGAGAAGTTTCTCCACGTCATGCTGCTCCTCTCCCAACGCAAAGTTCGACGACTGCAGCAACGAAGAAAAAAACAATGTGAACAACACGAGCATTGCTCAGCAATGTAAGAGGCAAAAACAAACGAGTATTGCATAAGAATGAGCAACTTCAAAGAGCATAATCGTGACCCGCCAGCTTGCAGCAGAGTTCAACCCCCGATACGGAAGTCTTGAGGATAGACAGACAACATCCGGAAAGCAGACATGGGAAGCAGATGAGGCAGCAATATATCTGATGGTCAAGCAAGCTTTTTCCCCTGTACAGTAAGCCCTGCTCCTTTTCCGGCTGGCCTCCCGCTGTGTCTCTCTCCCCCTCTGTCTCCTCTGTCTGTATTGTGTTTCTGTGTGTCGCTCTCTCTCTCTATCTCTTTCTGTGGGGCGCTGGGGAGGAGAGATCACCCAGGATCCGTCTCCCTACTTAAGTGCAGCGGGGAGTCATGCGAATTAGCAGCAGCGGCTCCTGCCCAGGTACCGGCAGTGGAGAAGGTCGTTGCTCCTCATGGAGAGGGCCATTTCCTGAAGGCGCACGCGAAGCGGTTCAATCTTGCTTATGTTAGTGTGACTAAAGCACATCCCTTCCTTCATTTCCTTCGAGAGTTCGCTCATATCGTCGTGGATGGGCAGAATCGTGAATATGGTACTCCAGCCAGCCATGACATGCTTCGTTCCGGCAGGACATGGAAAACCTGGACCCCAAAGCAGTCTTCGCAAACGAGCGGACTTTGCTGCACTATGCGGAGAAAGGCATGCCGCGCGACTGGAAGTCAGAAGTGTCGTGAATCCTTTGCAGAATCGGGATTCGTTGTGTTCGAGCTTCCAGACCAAATGCGATACAGAATGATACAGACGACAAGCGACACAAGGTTGTTGTGTTGGAGGGGCTGTAGAAATGAAGCGGGCAAGGTACGTTGCTGCTGTGGCAGTCGTCGCCATGAATCATAACAGTCGGGACATCAAGGCTGGGCACGGAAAGAAGTGTACCTCAATCCCCGTTGGTTCGCGATGGGGCATTGATGGGGCAAAGGAAGGTTTGGCAAATCTTGCACCTGCACCTGTTACGCACACTTGCTCTTGCGCTGGAATCACGGCTCCAAATGTGTGAAACATCAGCGCCTTTTTTTTTCAGAGTTCTTTCGTTTCGTTTCTGCCAGATCTTCGGCCTCGTCCTTTCCGCACCTCAGCTGCAAAAAGACCAGAAAGACCGAAGGAAGATGCCGAGTCCGGCCCTGCAGCTACTTGCCGCAGGGCCACGTCCGAAATTGGGTCTCCATTTTGTTGCTCTGCCCTGCAGCTTCCCCACTGCGCAACTTAGAAACACAGCCCAGAAAGCCAGAAGTTCACAGCTTTCAGGCATTAACCGCCGCATACTATCTGTGGATTCTGGCCCTTTTGCCGCAAGAAAGGATCTGGGACAGTCTTCGCCAGGTTGTTTTAGTACGGGTTTCGGCTCCTGGAGCCGAGGTTGCCTATTTTCAGCGGCTCTCGGAGATCACCGGGCGCTCCAAAGTGGTCAAGAACCGTCGCCAAACTGCACTCGTCAGGCGCAGGGCCTGCCTGCTAAAGACTGCGTTTTGGAAAAGCGAGGCGAGGCTCGCCTGGATTGGGAAGCTGGGCCATGGCTGGCCGCCGGCATGGTCTTGGTGGTGCTTGTCTACACCTTGAGCAAGGCCAGGAAAGGGCCTTTTTGCGTGGCTTCTTGCATTTTCTGGCCGGAAAGGCCTGGACGGGAGCCACCACGCACCACTACCAGTAAACGGCTGCGCCGTGGCTTCCGGTGTAGGCATGGCCGCAGGATGGGCACTCTGAGCTGAGCCATCCTTGAGGCGGCTCGCCGCGCTGATTCTTTCTTCTTTTTATTCTACCTTGTGCCTGGTCTTTCCCCCGCTTTCCCCAACTGTTGCTGCATGTCGCAGACCAAGACATCGGAAGTCGAGCCTTGCTTGAGTTGCTGATATTCTCACGGCCGAAGACCCGGAGTGCTGACTGCAGAAAGACCACTGCTGCTCGCAACGACCGCTTGGCCAGCAACGTGTAAATTTTGCTGGAAACCAGCCAGGCTAATACCTCGACATTTCTTGATCACCCGCATGCTGCTTGCTGCGGCATGCATTTCGAGCATCGAGTGTATAAAAGACTTGGAGTTTTCAGGAAGTGTTTGAGCAGTTTCGGCGCAACACGGTCCTTGGATTAGCACACAGAGCTTCGCCTGAGCGTTGAGCGAGGGATGATCAGCGAGTTTGCGAGGATTTCTCTCGTTCATGTCTGTGTTGGGAGTTTGCACTTTCGTACCCGTTCGTGGCTGACAGGCACAGGAGGGGCCTCGAGAGATTTGGACCATTGCTGAGCAGCAGGTTACTCCGTCAGCCAGAGCCACAGACAGCGCCGCGCTGGCTGAAGCAGCGCATCCGGAAAGCATCAACAGAGACCAAGGTCTTGAAGAACCTGTCTGTGAAGCCCTTTCCAGATGTGTGAGACACTTACTGACTAATGTGAGAGTTCCCGTGCTCGAAAACGCTGGCGGATGGGGCACCTCTTTCACCTTTCATTATTGTATACAGAGGCGCCCTCACACGTGGCGCGTGCTGTCAGTCCTGGTGAGGTTGGGGCTTTGCTACTTCTCCTGTGCAGCAGTAGTGCCTCAGGTTTGTGCGTGGCTCCAACGGTGGTGGGGTGATTGTCGCAGAAGTTGGGAAACGCAGGGAGGGATCGAAGCAGTGGGCTTGGGCTTTCGGTCCTTTCGGGTACGCTCTAAGGCGGTACCTTGTTAAGTGACTCAATGCCTTGCGACTGTTCGGGAAGCCACGTCGCAACCATGGGCAGAAGATGACTTGAGCATAGCGGAGTTACTGGTGTTTAGAGTCAGAGCGTCCAGCGCAGAGCTGCAGCTATCCCTTATGCTGACCAACACGGTTGGTGGAATGTTACGAATGGCCGTGTGGATGCCTGGAGGTCCCGCTCCGCCGCGCAACAAGCCTTGGATTCTCAGGAGTGTCGGCTGAAGAGCAAGTCTTGCAAGGGCACGAGATTTACTAATGATGACTGCCTTGAGTCCGTTGTGAACTCAACATAGTTCAAGCATTAGGGCATCCTGCTATTTTTTTTGCCCCCACAGAGAGAGTGCTTCCTAAACCCAGAAAGGGGCCATGCAGAATCGTGCGTGGCAGGAAGTCCAGGAGCTCTTGTACCTCGACTCAGATGGAGGATTAACTGGAGCTTCAGGAAAGAGGGCGCAAACTCAAAGTATACTGCCGTGGAGACTGCTTGAGGTTGAACTTCCAATCCGAGGCGGCCCGACAGTCAGACAGCCTCTGTGGCCTTTGGATGCATCGCACATCCATTCCGAGTTCTTCACCTGCCATCAGCAGCAAGCGCCAATCTCTGCGACATGCATAAACTGGGCCTGAATAGGCAGTTTGGACACTTCGGGATGTCTGCTATTTGCGAGAGAGCCTTCTCTTCTGCTCCGGCCATATCTGGCCAGACCAGCACCGATGCACGCTATGCAAAACATGATCTGGCGCGACTCTCGGTGGGTTAAACGACTTATGAGTATTCCAGGGTCCAGGATGCTCTGAGACTGGGCCACGCCGAGGTGAAAACCCTGCTGCAGTGGCATTCGAACTGGCTCAGCGGCCTCCTGGACAGCCAGGCTTCATGTCCGGACAAGACATGCCTGCAAAGCCCCTTAAACTCAAGTGCTCCCCTTATCGGTGCAGGTCTTCGAGCTGATGTCACAGTTTGCCGAGCAGGGGTGCGCCCAAAATATGTCAGCGATGCAATGCGAAGCGCCGATATGTGTTGCGCGCCAGGCCGTACTGGGTGCCCCGTGCTGCGGGGACTGCCATGAGAGATGAAGCAGCCTAGTAGGGCCTAGAGTGCCTGCTTGGAGCAGCTTCGTCGTTTTGTGCGGCCAAGTTGGTTGTAATCTATCGCCCAAGACCTCCAGGCTGCACAGGCCTCACAGGTTTTGTGACACCGTGAACAGCCCTGCGTGGGAAAGAAATTCCTTCACGAGGAGATGCCCGCGATAGAAGAAGATCCCACCCGTGGGTGCTTGAAAATATCAAGGCAAGTCTCGCTGTGTCGGCTCAAGCCAGCAACAACCATGAAGCGAAGTCGAACCACAAAGCACGGCGGTTTGAGGAAAAGCTCCCCTGATACTCCTTGATCATTACGCGGCACCCACATGAAGCCAAGCCATTTCCTAACCATTGACTCCTGCTTAGCCGAGACCATGCACTTGGTCTGTCTTGTTCTGCATCTAGCTTGCAGTATATTGCAACACCAAGTAAAGAGAGTCAAGGAATCGAGCAGCATTTCCCGCTTGCCATTGCAAGGGCCACACCATACAGACCGACAGACAGACAGAGCATTGTCCAGCAGGGCTTACAAAGCGACGGCTTAAAGTCTATGTGATCATACTATCTATCTATCTATCTATCTATCTATCTATGCATATATATATATTTGTATTTATAGACACATACATGGACATGTTCGTCTATCTGTAAAAGGAGATCGCTCCATGCCAAAGCGGAGACAGGCCGCTCATTTCAGGTGTATTTTGTTGAGAGAGCTGTCGATCTCGGAACCCAGGCTGTGCTCCGTCCTCGGAGTGCAAGGCGGGTAGAGGCTGCTTGGCGAGAATCCGCAAGAAAAGACGCAGAATATACTGTGGTTTAATGCAAGCAATAAGGTATAATCATGTTCTTAGAATACTCAGATGGGTAGAGGCGGCAACTTTGGTGGTTCCACCCCCAGCACCTACCGTGACCCTGATTGGGAAAGTCATGCGCCCGGCTTTACGTGCACCGGGGCTGCCTGGAGTAGTGGTTCAGGGAGTGGATAGGTCCGATCTTGGTATCGGTTTCTTTTTTTTTTTGATGGTTCGATTGTTGGGCTGCCAACTCCGGTTCTCAGGGCACGAACCAGCCTTGGCCGGTTTGCACAGGGACAGGCGGCAGGAAAGCAGTTCTTTCAGGGCCGCGTTAGTTTCACATTCATTACGGGCGGACATCGCCGTGGTCTGCACAGCTCGCCCTGTGTAACCGCATGAAGGCAAGCGTTGTGCTACAATCATGCAATGCAATACAACGAACTAATTAATATATATATATATATATACTTGGCTTGGACGCAGTGTTCGGGTGCACAGCTGAGCCTGCATCCAGGTTGCCTGCTCGCCCTCACGATCACGCAGCCGGACGCACAAAGTGCACAAAGATTGCACTATTATGGTGTTTGGATCTCGTACCTGCTGACAAGCTGGGGTTGACAGTTCAATAGACGCAAAAGGCAGACAAATCGCGAAGGAAAGGGTGCTCGACAAGGGTTTTGTGTACTGTCTAGATGACTTGCCGAGGTCCTGCAAGCGAGTGCAGAGCTAGCCGGCAGCGCGCGGCAAATGTTGACTTGTAAGTGCGATAGCTGGAGGGCAGTAACTAATGAGTGTACATTCTGCAGCGGAGTGCGATAAGCCAGGTCGGCTGAGCGCTTTCAGCCAAGAAGTGAGAGGAGACACCCAGCAGCACTCAGACAATCTCAGATGCGCATTTGGGACAGCCGCAGTCGAGAAGATTCCAGCTCCCAGCGAGAGAGCCGAGGTAGCAGCGACCCAGGTGCCGGACATGAGCCGGAGCTGGAGGAAGAGGAGGAGCGGAGATAGCGCTTGCCACGAGAGTTTACTGCACCGCAGCCCCAAAGCCACACGAACCGACACGCAGTGCTCACTGGTACCAGTTGTAAGGATCTTGAGGAGCACCACGCCGACTCAGAGGCAGGACTGGTAAGGTTGTCCCAGGGATTGTCTTGAGCACCTGGACAACGGGACAACGAAAGAACAAGTTTGGTTAGGGTTTGTGCGAACCATGGTAGGAGGCGGAGGAGGAGGAGGAGCGGAGAGCTGCCAGTGGCAGGCGAAAAAGCTCATGCCTCGGATGAAAATGCAGTTGGCCGCTCCGGTTCAACCATGAAATCGCTGAACATCGGCTGAACATCCCCGAGGGCGCAGGCAGCGATCCCCGGAAGGACTTCGGGGAAGTAGGAACTCTGGGATTTACCCGCTTGTGTAGATTCTGGGAGTTGCAAGTAAGTAGCAAGGGTGACGTCACTCGGCAGACTCAATTTGATGCCGAATCCTGAGTGTGCTGAGACTGTTGTTGAGATTCAGCGGGTGTATAGCAGGAGATGCAGAGCCGGAGAAGCGAAGGAAGGCGCACGAGGAGAGATACGGTGAGAGATTGGACGAATTGAGAGGTTAGTACTGCACCCTAAACCCTAAACCCTAAACCATGTAGAGATGCTTCTGCTTTTCCGAATTCTCAGTCCCAGAAGAGTTGACAGGTCCGGAGGCTTCGCCGCAAGTCACAGAGGGAGGAGCAGGTCCCAGAGCTGCCCTTGCTGAAGTTTGCTTTGCCGACTTGCACTATATAATATAATATAATATAATATAATATAATATAATATAATATAATATAATATAATATATATTAGTCTCCTAATTATCGGCTAGGTAGG